CCTCTGATTTTCTTTCTGATTTGGGGCGGGGGCTGTGTTAGGCTTGAATCATAACCCCGCTTCTGCCACCTACAATCCGTGTGACCTTGGTTGAATTATTTAGGCTAAGAAGCCGTTTCCACAGCAACATCCACCTTGAGAGCCACTGAGTGGATTATTTTTAAAATGTCAGTGTACGATGGAGTACCAAAGTGCACAATGAATTTTATGTTCTGTTTCCCCCTCACACACACTTTTTCTCTTTTCCCCTGTAAGACATCTGTCCACATCTGTTTACCCTGATTCTCAGGACGCCAGGCAGGGCCTTGCTCTGACTGCTTTGCCTCTGCTGGTTCCTAGCATTGCTGGGTCAGCCGAGCAAGCGGTGGCAGCGGAGGCCATCTGTGAGAACCGCTCCCCAGATCTGCATAGCCGCTTTGTAAAGCGAGAACAGTGAGGGAACGTTCACGCTTGTTGCAGCAGCACGATGGGAGGCCCTTGCATGCCTTACCTCACCCTAGAAATTGGGCCTGTCCTGAAGTAGAAGCGCTGAGAAAGGTCTGGCTACACTGATAGTAATTTCATATCTGCATCCCAGCAGCCATTAAAAAAAGGTTCACGCATGCTGCGCCAGCCCTGCCCTCGGGGGTGCTGAGCCTGCGATGGAGACCGGGTGTGGTGACGCACACACGCCTGTAACCCCAGCACTAGGGAAGCTGGAAGCAGGAGAATCACTATGAGTCCGGGCTGTATAGTGAGACCCTGCACACACACACACACACACACACACACACACACACACACCTGTTCAATTGTTCACTGAGGGCTGGAAAGATAACTCAGTGGACTAGGCGCCTGCTTGGGCAAGCTCAGGACCGGGGTTCGACTCCTACTACCACAGGCGCACTGGTTCCTCCCCAAGGCAAGCCGAGTCGGCTACCAAGATGGGATGTGTAGGGGCCAGGGAGATGGCTCAGTAGAATAAGCACTTCCCTGGCAAGTGCAAGGTTCTGAGTTCAATCCCCAGTTACACACACATACACACACACACACACACACACACACAAAGATGGGATGTGGTGGGGCACTCCTGTAATCCCAGTGCTGGGGAGGCTGAAAACAAGAGGATCACTATGAATCTGAGCTGCGTCGTAAGACCTTGTACCCAATACATCATGATGATGATGATAAAATAAATTCTGCACCAGATAAAACTGGTTTTGGGTTTTTGTTGTATTTTTTTGAGACAGGGTCTCTCTAGGTCACTAAATTGGCTGGGCTCAAACTTGTAATCCTCCTGGCTTAGCCTCGCAGAATGGTGAGATTACAGGCATGGGGCAGCACACTTATTTTGGGTTTTAACCTAAATTTCACAAATGTTTAAGCAGATGTGTTCCCAACTTTTATTTATTTATTTATTTATTTATTCATTTATGTCTTTTTTGAGACAGGCTTTTGCTATGCAGTTCAGGCTGGCCTTGAACTCACTTTGTAGCCCAGGCTAGCCTGGAATTTGACATAATTGTCCTGCTTCAGCCTCCTGAGTGCTGGAATTACAGGCATGAGTCCCCACGCCCGGTCCAATTTTAAATAGACCGACAGTTGGTTGAATTCTCAGAGGAACTTGTCTGCTAAAAATTATTTGCTTGAGGGTCTTATATTTGGCCTCTATGAGACTATACCTTACACCTTTTCCTCAATGGTTTCTTCCACATTATTTTTAATTGTACATGCCACGTAATGTCTTTGCTATTTCTAGTGTATAGTTCAACAATTTTTTTTTTTTTTTTTTTTTTTTGGTGCCAAGGACCAAACCCAGGGCTTCCAGCTTGCTAGGCAAGCATTCTACTGCTAAGCTAAATTCCCAACCCCCTAGTTCAACAGAATTGAGTACATTCACCTTGTTAGTGATGACATGCAATCCTCTATCTCCCGAACATTTTCATCTTACAGAATTAAAACTGCACCCATAAACCATGCATGTCAACCTTTTGGCTCTCTTGGGGCACCCTGCATAGATAAGAATCACCCTGGGTTGGGCTGGGGAGATCGCTCTGTGGTCTAAGCGCCTGCCTGGCAAGTACAAGGACCCAGGTTTAATGCCTAGTACATCATGATGGGGGCTTGCAGATTAGCTCAGTTGTATAAGCACCTGCTGGGGCAAACCCAGTCAGGAGCAGGGGACTGTGGTTCAATCCCCAGCTCCCCAAGCCTTACTAGACCCGTCCTTAAAGCAGCCTAAGCCTGCAAAAAAAGAAAAAAAAAATCCCAGTACCTCATGCTGTGCCAGCCTGGGAACCCCAGACATGCCATGCTGGCCCTGAATCCAGGTGTGGTGGTGCATGCCTGTAATCCCAGCACTGGGGAGGCTGAGAAAATAGGATCACTATGAGTCTAAACTGCATAGCAAGACCCTGTATCAAAAACAAGCAAACATGGCCGGCCAAATAGCTCAGCGGATTATATCACCGGCAAGCCAGGGGTTCAATCCCCAGGCCTGCTGTGCCAGCCCCACCTCCAGGGCACACTGAGACAGCAATTGAGACTGGGCATTGTAATCCCAGCACTTGGGAGGCTTAAACAGGTGGATCACTACAAGTCTAATCTAGTAGTGAGACCCTGAACACCCTTATAGAACCTTCCCTAAAACAAAAAACCAAAAAACCCACATAGACCACATAGGGGCTGGGGAGATAGCTCAGTAGAATAAGCACCCACCTGACAAGCACAAAGTCCTGAGTTCAATCCCCAGTACCGAAAAAATAAATAAATAAAATAAAATAAAAAGAATTACCCTGGGTTGCACATAAGATATATAATACAAAAAAAAGATATATAATACAGTTAATGTATATAAGTAATAAAACTTCATTCATATATATATATATATATATGCTTTCCTATAGATATTTTCTTTTTCTTTTTTTGAGACAGGCTCTTGTTATATAGTTTAGGTTGGCCTTGAACTCACTATGTAGACCTGGCTGGCCTCAAACTCACTGGCCACACCTGGCTAGATTAACATTTTAAAATGTAGTATGCACAATATACAATGAAATATTACTCAATGTTTAAAAAGGAAGGAAATTCAGGCCAGAGATGTAGCTCAGCAACACAGCACCTACCTGGCAAAGCACAAGGGTCTGATTTCAATTTCTGGTAAAAAAAAAAAAAAGGCTATTCTAGCTGGGCATAGTGGTGCAGGCCTACAATCCTAGCACTTGAGAGGCTGAGGCAGATTTCTGTGAACTACATAGTGAGACTTTGTCTCAAAAGACAAAACATTTTTGTTTTGCAAACAAAATAAAAAAAACAAAAACACACAACCAAAAAGATCTGTCAGTGGACACTTACCTGAATGGCTATTACCTTGGTCATTCATTTTTTGGGGGACAGGACTCGCTGTGGCATTCAGGCTGGCTTTGAGCCACTGTGGAGGCCAAGCTGGCCTTGGACCCGCAGCCGTGCTCCTCCTTCGGTCCTGAGTGCTGGATTACAGGTGCATGCCACCACACCCCACTCTCTTTGCTGCTTGTGAGTAGCACTGCTATGAATACGGATATAAAAATCTCTCTTTGACACCCTGCTTTCAATTTTCTTGGGTATATCTCAGAAGTGAAATTACTGCGTCATACATATTTCTATATTTAACTTTGTGTGTGTGTGTGTGTGTGTGTTTGGTACAGAGTCTCACCATGCAGCTTGGACCCGCAGTGATCCTCCTGTTTCCAGCCTTCCCAGTGCTGGGATTATAGGTGTGTGTCACCACACCCTATCTCAGTGGCCGGTTCAGTGCACCGGTGGCGGGGCCAGCACAGCCTGTGGCACCAAGAATCACAAACCCAGGTCCCTGAGCTTGCCTACGCAGGTGCTTAGTCCGCTGAGCTATCTCCCCAGCTCGTGTTCTACACATCAACCCTCTGTCACACACTTGATTTTGAAATATTCTCCCTTTTGGTGTTTTTTATTTGTTATTTTAGACAGGGTTTGGCTATGTAGTTCAGGATGACCTTGAACTCATAGAAATCCTCCTGCCTCTGCCTCCTGAGTGCTGGGATTGCAAATGTGCGCCATCACATCTGGTTTGGTGCACAGGGGGGCCCGCTGAGTGGTCGTGACATCCATGGCAAAACTCGTTTGACTAAGTATGTCAAGGTTCCGTGCCATAAATTTTTGCAGATGGTAGCACCAAAATGACATTGTCTCTGCCTTAAGAAAGCCACAGTTGGGGTAAATACTCAGATTCTGTTTCGAATAGTGTGCGTTCAGTGTCGCTGTGTGTTCGGTAGGCAAATATTTTCCCACATATTGTCTCTTAAGCTTCTCATGAAACCAGCGAGACAGCCGCTGGCCTTCATCGGAGGGCCATTCTTACTTGCAAGGAGAGCATGGTTGTGACTTTTGCAGGGGTGTAGACAATCAGGACTTGCAACCAGAGTTCCCGGCAGCTGTGTCCTGCTACTTCAAGTAAGAGCTTCCCACCCCTAAAATGTGGGCAGCAGTGAAATTAGGTGGTCTCGGGCGAGCACCTTTTCAGCTCCAAGCGTCTACGCATTAAATTGCTGAAAGCCAAGGGCCATGCATAAAGTACACCCGTGCAGGCCAACCACCGCTCCAGATCCCAAAAGCAGAGAGCCACAGTGCGCGCTCCGCCCCGTCGGGCGGACCCGAGAGCTTCCCCGGAACCTGAGCTAGGCTGGGCCGTGCCACTAACGCGGGTGGGGCACGAGTCACAGGAAAATGCCTGCAGCGAGATTCTCATAGAACCCCTGCAGGGTCGCTGGGCAGGGAGGCCTGAGCGTCCCGCCACGCCTGCGACGCTGGCTCCGCACCAGCTCCGGGTTCCTCGTGCGCCCGCGCCCCGTGGGCCTCGCCTCGGTGGACCCCGGGCTGCTTTCCTCTTGGTACGCCCTCGCCGGACGCCGAGAAGCGCCGCGTGGCCAGTGCGCATGCGAACCGCCCGGGAGGGGCGGGGCGGGGCGGGGGAAGGGCGCGCAGGACCCCGCCCCTCGCGGCTCCACGAGTGACGTTGCGGGGGCCTCGCCAGGCTCCGAGCGGTGAGAGCGAGCGGCTGGCGCCCAGCGCCGCTAGACCGGGAAGGGATGCGGGTGTCGCGGTCCTTCCGGAGGGTGCTTTGGGGAGGGGAGCAGGCCGAGGGGCACCACCCGCCGCTGACCCCCAGGCTCTCCCCTCCGCAGCTCTGTGTTTGCCCTTCCAGGACTCCCGGGACCGGAGGCGGGGCAAAGGCTGAGCATTGGTGACACCTGCATTTTGGTGGCTGTCTTCTCCCCCTACCCTTCTGTTGCTCTCTCGCCTTCCAGATGTTCTTTTTCCGTCAAGCTGACGCTGCTTGCATGGGATAGATAGCATGCTCTCCTTGGAAGCAGGCTGCAGGTTTCAGACCGCGGCTAGACCACTGCTGTGCGAAGGGCCCTGAGCTTCGTTTCCCCCACGATGTTTTTCTCTCCTGGTTTCAAGAATCGCTGTGAACAAGAGAAAGGAAATGACATCTGTTGAGTTCCTGCATTGCCAAGCACCTACCGACAGCTGTGGAGCGCGCTTAATCCTCATGATTCCGTTCTTAGAACTCCCATTTCACGGATGCCTAAGCTCACAGCAGTTAGCTGACTTGGTCCCGCATAGCTGATGAGTAGGGAGGGTTCCCAAGTGGAGTACTACTGAGACACTTTCCTTATTGGGGCTTCAGTGCTGTTTCTGCCTTGCCAGGCTGAGAATTCTTCCTTTCAGCTTCCTTGCTCCAGCACAGATTGCCCTGCTCCACTGCCCCCGGGTTATTTCAGAAATGAACTGCAACAAAAACTTCCTGAGTGCCACAGGGAGGTGAAGTTTGGAGGTCAAGAACCTTGGGTTCCCATCTGGGTTCTGCCGCTCGCAGCCGTGGCAAGTCCCTTGTTTAACCTGTGCGTAACTGGTCGAGCGTCCTCCGGCCAGCAGGCTCTGGTCCAGTCTTTCCTCCCTGTCCTCCAGCAGGCTCTCCGAGAAAGCCCAGACCCCTGTGCTCCTCATGGGCAGCTGCCAAGCCTGGCACAACCTGCATCTCTGTCTGGCCCACCACCCACCTCTGGTCTGTGCCAATCTTATCTTGCTGCTCCTCGGCCTCTCGGGCCTGGGCCTGGGTGGCTTCTTCCTCACCCACAGGACTGGGCTGCGCAGCCCTGACATCCCCCAGGTAAGTGGCCTCCTGCTTGCCCTTCCCTCAGAGCCCTGCTGTGCATCGCCTGTCACCCCTCTCCCATTTTCCTTTTGCACACAGGACTGGGTCTCCTTCTTGAGGTCTGTTGGCCAGCTGAACTTGTGCCCTGTGAATGGGACAGTCACAGAGAAGTCGCAGGGGTCTCACATCGTGGGGTTGCTGACCACCCTGAAATTTGAAGATGGTCCAGACAGGAACAAGACCAAAACATTCCAAGCCAAGATCCCGGGTAGTCAAATGGGACTGAAAGGTGAGATCGGGAGGGAGGGTGAGGGTGCAGCACCAGAGCCCTGGGTGGGCCTGCCTCGGACCTCCCCTC